GGCCACGAGTAACAGGAAGTCATCGGACCAACACGAAGCGAACCTACAATGACCGAGCGACGAGCCGTGATCAAGAATGCGGATATGAGCAATGAAGTACAAGAAGATGCGGTGCAAACAGCTGCCCTCGCGTTGGATAGGTATCAGGTCGAGAAAGATATTGCAGCGCATTTGAAAAAGGAATTTGACAAGAAGTACGGACCAACATGGCATTGCGTGGTTGGAAAGAATTTCGGAAGGTAAATTCTGATCGCAGTTTTCGTTATGCATTGAATTGTTGTTTTGTTTTATCCACCCACTGAATACGGCATAATCAAATTATATTTCTTGACTTTCATCTATCCTTGGTTGATTTCAGCTATGTGACACACGAAACCGGAAATTTCATCTATTTCTACCTACAAGATCGTGCATTTCTCCTCTTCAAATCTGGTTAAAGGAAGCGATTTGTGCCTGTCAAAACTGTTCCCCTTTTACTGTACAAGAAATTAACGGGTTTCAAGAATGTCCACTCACCATTGTGCGCCTGCTTTGATATTCAGACAAACAAACGCACACAAACACGCACTAATGCTTGCAGCTGAAAGGAATCGTCTTAGTTCGTCTATCTCTTGTAAACACAACTATATGCATGTTTATGCAGAGCATTGTTCAAATTATGTCAAATAAACATAACATTATCGTGTCATATTTTGTTTATTTTCCATTTTCTCATGTCAAACGTCACTAGATTTTACCGGACAGTACATTATATCATGGGATATTTTAATAAATACACATTACGGGGCAGCATGAAAAGAGATGGTTTAATTATTACTATAAGATAAGTAATAATATTCTTGCAAATATGTGCTGTGTATTATATCCTACAACTAAACCAATTGCCAATACTTCCCTGAGGAGGACGATCGAAGTCGCACAAAAATGTCGTCGTCATCATCAAGAACATTATTAGCCTCCGCTTGTGAATGTCTGTCTCCAACAGAAAATTCGATCAGACGTTTACGAATGAATGAATCTCAGAATATCCTCTCTCGAGCATTGGTTGATAACATTATTCATGATAACACAAAGTCATATGTATCTGATCTAATCTCACTGAAACCAGATCCATGATTTGTATTGGTAAACTTGCTTAATCTGATCGGTATTACTGAACTATTGTTCAAACTCCATATCCCATACAATGCACAGCTCATACAGCTTCTGCGAGCTGCAATGTAAAAACAATCCTGGGGATGTAGACGCATGTGATGGGGAAATACGTTCTTTCCAGTATATCAAATTAACCGCTTAAATGTGTAAAATAATAATACAGGCATCTTTTTTCTGAAACAGGCTGGCATATACTGCTGACCATGGGACTGTGTAGATCAAGCGTGTTTACGCAGTTTACACGTATTGATATAACTCGCACAACACTAATGTTTATTAAATTTGTTCCTCCCAAGACTTAGAGTTTCGAGCCCCATTCACGGGATTTAATGTGATATTAGAATCTGAAGTGCAATCCCAAAATGAGAGCCATGTTACACGAGCTCTATTGATGCATGTAGTAGTGTTCAAGGTCGGACCATTTATGTCATGTAACCTGACAGAGAGGTCAACAGAAAAAGAATAATATCATCCACAGTTTAAAATCTTTTGAAAGTGGCAGGGAGGGTCGATTGCAATATATATTATCCCCAACAGGCAGTATAGAGTATACCTTGCGGAAGATCATATTTCTGTATATAATGACCTTGCGAAAACTGGGCATCCTGATCCACGCATCCTTCGCTTCAATGCTCTTACATTGACCTGTGGATTCTCACTTATACTCACGTATACCCTTGCCTCGCCTGCTCATATCAGTCGGTGTCAAATCCTAGTAAGATACCTTTAGTAGAACCTAAAATACGTAAGCGCGAGAAAAAATATATCGAAAAAGAAATCGTTCCCGAATGCCGCTTTTGCACAATCTATCAATGATGGAAGCCCAATGAATTCAAAATAAAAGATCGGATTCAGAGCCGGAGTTTCGAGTAAAGTTACTAGAGAATGTCCTCAGCGTAATTCTCACTAGTACTTCTAACATGAGATTCAATGAAATAAGAGTACTGGAAAAATACCTGGGGAAAAATCAGAGACTTGGTAATCTCAGCTTCACTCCTCGAGCGGCAAATTACGTTGCGTGAAAGCTGCTAAGTCGTCGGGGATTTCGTAGAAATATTTTCAATCATTGAAATTTTATTTATAAATTCTGATTCTGTTAAAAAACACCCTAATGGTAAGCTAGCTAATGCTGAAATTATCTTGTTTAAAGAGGGTTACCTAGAATCATGATTTTTGGTAATGATTAGTCTAAAAATTGTGTCGAACACTATACCCATTTGATTTAGTAATCTACAAGTGAAAAAACGACACTAAGGATGATGTGAGCGGAAGTAAATAAATGATTCTCCTCAATCTCGACGGGAAGTGTTGGACGCAGTGGAAGTGCGTAACACACGCTTCTTACGAACGATTATTATCTCAAATTCTGTAAGAGTCAACTGACCTCTTCTCCAGGGACTCTCATCGGAGTATAACGATTTCCGCCTGCACAGTCAGCTGCATGAATTAGTGGTTGTGTGTACACATGACATCTGATAAATCATCAGTCTAAATCATTTAAACTTATCCGATAGAACCATATCACAGTAAGTTTGAGGTAAATGGAAGATTACGAAATCAACGGAAATCCTTACAAGCGCTATGCATGACACACATTTATAAAATTGTGGCGTCGTGTAACTATCCCCATTGGGTAAAGATAAGGCTGAGACTATATGGGGAAATTATTGTTTCACCTCAAATGAGAAGTACTATAAAATTGTTGAAGTCAACCAGAAAGAAGAAAAACAATGGGTTGTTCGTTTGCGAAATAAGGTGACTATTTAATTAACGAGCAGTAGGGCAATTATTATCTTCTATTTGCTCTGGTTAGAACATTCTCAGGGTTTCAGGTAAGAAGGATGCCTTTCTATTTACCAATTCCGGGAATTTTATGAAACGATAGGAATTTATTTGAAATAATGAAAGGAAAACTACCGTAAACCGATGGAAAGTGAACTAAATCATGTAAATGGTGACAGCATCAAAGATGATCAAATAGCTTACAAAAACAGATGTTCTCGAATTCGCAGTTCATGTGATATAATTGTATTATTAATAGTTGACAGTTGCTAATTAAGCTTACACAAGCTCGTTGCATGCAACCTAAAGGAAACGTAAAATCAGAAGCTGAGAACTATTGTACAATTGTTATTAATAAAACCCTGGAAGATCGCAAGATGTGTGCAATAATTGGCTCTTCATTTGTTAAGTGGATAAATTTATTATGTCACCGAACCCAATTGCTCATTCATCTTTTGGAGTTGTTTATCTTTTGGTGAAAATTTCAGCATTCTTACAGGAAGGATGAGTTTTGTATAGTGATTGGGAAAAGTTCAGTAAACTCGGTGCGTATGGACGCTACCCACACTTTGTACGCGCACGCGCTACCAGCTGAGCTACGAGGCCACACCGATAGCACTGATCTTTTTACATTGGGATCTCATCAAGGATACTAACCTTTTAAAAATCACCACAAACTTCAAATATTCTAAACATCCATTTGCGGATGATTTTTCTCAAATAAGCTCTTTTTGCTTCAGTGTAATTATGAGGTCATTGAAGCAATTAAACGTGCGTGTCACTCCACTTATCTATTTATTCACCTTATTCCTACGACGAGCACTAAAACTGGACCCTTTCTCAGGACTACGCTTTTTTAAAATTTATTAATTGACTGATGACGTTTACTAGAAACGTGCAGTAGACTGTGATCGACTAGTCAGCATTTGGCCTTTGTGCAGCACATTTAGCTGACAAACTGCTATCAGTGCCGATGTCGACGAATTCGGCTCAGAGCTGATCGTGTTGGATTTTGGCAATCGTTTAATGATCCAGATGCCAGATATCAGGCGGCCATGTGACAAAATAACTACTCATGAATTGCAATAGAATTATCATGGGTCTTTCAGATCCACCGCTTTCTATTATTTATTAATGTTTTGTTAGCAATGCGTCAAAGAAGTGTAACAAATCTCCTAATTTTCTACTACTCGAAGTGAAATCACAGTTCACTGAAGCTCATCCGTGGGTAAGATAAAAATTCCGTATTGAATACTTGAAACAGTAGTTTCATTTAATTGTGCAATGTGTTTCAAACAGATCAAAGGCGTTGCTGAATTAAGCAGGGTTCGCCATGCTGGGCGATTTCGCTACTTCATTAGAAAACGGTACTCTATCCCGATATTTGATACCTTTTCGTAAATTCTTTCCATATAAGTAGTTTTGTATTTGAATTCGTATAAATAGCTGGGTTCCGAGTTATTTGCCAAAAACAAAGTCGAGAAGCAACAGCACAGATCACACACACAGATAACCTGGTGGTATAGATGATGTTCTCCGGCAAAAGAAATCATTCAACACCAGAGTGAACGTGTATCTGTTCCAGTGCTTTGAAGGTGATAGATTTGTGCTCAAAATCTGGAGTTTTTTGTATGGAATCAGTGAAAGCCGCCTATGAATAAATTCTAAGGGCTCCAGATCAAACGGAAACCTACTCATTTGCAAACAGGATATCGGTATGCCATGACCTAATAATATCATGTTGATACTTGAACTGTCTGACTTTTGTTAACTTAGGATTGATTTATATCATTCATTCCACAAAAATATATGCTTTCTGGGGACTTGGAAAGTACACATTGGCAGTTGGTTTTCACCCTGAGCTACTAACTGCAGATTCATCAACGCATTACTCGACATTTTTTCTGGGTTGTGCCAGTTACATTTGCTTCACTCATTGAATTTCAGCACAAACGCGCTTCGGGGCTCCGTAGCCAGCCACAATCAAGCACTGGTAATTTATTCAAACCTAATTGTACACATCAACTTGTGTGTTCCTATTTTGGGTCAAACGAGGTGACCTGGAGTGAGCAGAAACAAACTGATAGACACTTGTGTGCCCCCTGGATGATGTAAACAACACAGTACTCATTTGGTTCCAGTTCGGTGTGTGTGAATAGTAGGAAACATCAAACAGAGCGCAAACCGGAGGAGTGAAATTTGCATTGCGCTTCTGGTGAATTGAACACCGATTGCATTGTGTTTTGTAATATTCGTAATTCTGGAGGTCTCCGCAAACCAAAAAAGTATCATCAGAAGGACTCACACCATTCATGATACTGAGAGATCGGTTAAATGCTTTCAGCACACCTGAAACATTCTGCATTTCCACGAATGCTTAAACGCTTGATCGTGAGCCACGATTTAGTAATGCTTTGTCTCAATGGTGAATCAGTTGCGTTTATGAGATTATACTTCAGTTTGCTATGATAGATTTCATTCCGGATGGCATTATTCTAGG